GCGGCGGCGCGCGCAGCTGCCTGGGGCAGGAGCTGGCGCGGGCGGTGCTGCAGCTGCTGGCGGTGGAGCTGGTGCGCACGGCGCGCTGGGAGCTGGCCACGCCGGCCTTCCCCGCCATGCAGACGGTGCCCATCGTGCACCCGGTGGACGGGCTGCGCCTCTTCTTCCACCCGATCGCGCAGGCGGCAGCGGGAGATGGGCTCTGCCTCTGATTGGTTTGGCGACACCCATCTGTGCTTCCCCGGCGCCAGGGCATGCGCCCTTGACGCGTTCAACAAACTGGAGGCTCTGTGCGGGACTCAGGGAGGGCGAGCGCGAGCCACAGCACCGGAGGCGGCCATGCACGCGAGGAGGTGTCTCTGGCGCTCCATCTCTGCCAGACCTCGGGCACTTTCCGCCTCCCTCCCTTAGGAAGGACAGGGCGTGGGCAGAGCTTCTTGAGCCCGTTTCAGGACCCCGGAGCAGGGATGGAAGGAACAGATTTCCATGGGAGCTACTCGGTCTCACCTTTCGGTGCCACACGTGGGAGGGTGATTGGATCGTGGGGCCGCCTGGTGGACCGAGCCAGAAACTGGGCGCGCACGGCTGGACCTGCCACCCTGGGGCAGAAGCGGGGGACTCCCTGGCGTAGGGCCAGGGGAAGACACCCAGGCAGCCATGGCCACGCTGCCGGTGTTTCCAGGGCTCCAAACAGCTCAACATCACCGGATTCTGCTGGCGACTTCTTAAGAGAAAAATTCCTCCTTCAATAACTTGTTTAATCTCCCCATTTATAAGGGAGAATAGGCACATCCATTCTCTTAAGGCTGGATTATTTTCACAGGAGGCGGAGACATACTCAGGTTTAGGATATTTGTACCCAAAACAGGAAGGCCAAGTACTAGTTTCCTGGTAGCAGTTGAGAGAGGAGGCTAGGGCTTAGCAGGGCAGCTAGCCGCTCCTTGTGGGAAGGTATGGAGTAGAGGGGGGGGGGCACCCAGGAGCCCCCCTCCCCCATGACCCATCCCAGCATACACCCAGAGAGGGGACTGGATCTGGGGCCAAGACTGCAGACAAAGCGTAGGATCGCCCCAGGAGCTGGGCTGCCAATTAGCTCCAGGATAGATGGCTTCAGGGTCAATACTTCCACCTCTTTTTTATTTTATTTTTTATTTTTATTGATTTCAGAGAGGGAGGGAAAGATAGCAACATCAATGATCAGAGAAAAATTATTGATCAGCTGCCTCTTGCATCCAATCTCCATCCTATTGGGGATCGAGCCTGAAACCCAGGCATGTGCCCTTGACCAGAATGGAACCTGGGACCCTTCAGTTTGCAGGCCAATGCTCTATCCACTGAGCCAAACCACCTCCACCTCCTTTATTACAGAGGAGAAACTGAGGCCATAGACCCCTTAAGAAGCCAACAATGGGCTCTGGACTGCTAAGCAGTGTTTCCCTTTACCCCATCCCTTACTCTCCCTCTCCCTCCCTCTCCCTCTCTCTCTCTCTCTCTCTCTCTCTCACACACACACACACACACACACACACACAGCTCTCCCTCCTACCCCCTTCAGCTTCTGAGCCTGTGGCCACCATGGAGGTAGAACTCGGGCCCTCGGGTCCTTTCACGTGCTCCCTAGTTGGCTTAATCACTTTCTCCCTCTGGACCCTCCCAGCACAGGGATTCCTATCAGCGTTTAAATCAAAGCCAAGAGTCTCCAGTGTCCTCATTCCCAACATCCCCAATCTGCCCCCATCTTCAGACAGGCAGGGGCAGCTGGCCCTGGACGGGGTGGGTGAGGCAGGGAAGTTGCCTCTGGGGGCCCAGCTGACCCCTTAGTGAACCAGAAGGAAGCTGGTGCCCTCCTGACCTTATGCTTAAGGTGGATCCCTGGGCCAGGAGGAAAGGGGGAAGCGGCAGGCGTGAGCAGGGCCAGTAGCTCAAGAGCGCAGCGGGCCTTCCCGAGCCAGGCTGACACCACCATAACCCCATTCAGGGCAATTCATCACCCACTGCTGACCACCGGGCCGGGCCGGCCGGCATCAGGCTGAGGGCTCTGCAGGCGCCAGAGCCAGTAAGCGTGCAGAGACTGAGGCCTGCCCTCAGGGCGCTCAGAGGCTGCCGAGACAACAGCGGGGCCTGAGAAGCCCCACCAGGGTGAGGTGGCAGGAGGATCAGGTTTGGGGGTTGATTCTGATCTGGGGAGAGAAGAGAAATATGGGGCAGGGGGTCCTCAGGAGCCCCGGACGGTGTAGCTGGTGCCAAGAGACCTGGCTTACCTGCTCTGGATTCTGCACTACCGATAAGCCCCTGTAGGGGGCAGCTCCACTCTTACTCTAGTTTTCCATCAACCCATCATTTTCAGTCATTTCACTGGAGACCCGAGCCCCTTTGTTAGCAGCTCTAGTTTCCCTGAGGAAGGAGCAGACATGGTCCTTGCGCCTCCTGGACAGAAATGCCCACGAAGGAAGTGGACAATGAATGAACTAAAAGAGCAAGACTGTGTCCCAAGGTGATAAGTGCTGGCGGGAAAAATCAGGCTTGTGATGCTGAGTGCCTGGGGACTACGCTCATCAGGGCAGGCCAGGAAGGCTTCTCTCAAAAGAGGCCACTGGGTTTTGCAAGGAACCAGCCAGGGGTGACCTGGAAGAGGTGCCCCCAGGCAGAGGGGACTGCAGGTGTAGAACCCTGAGCCGGACAGAATGCTCAGAGATGGGAAGCAGGGGTTGAGGGAGAAGAGGGGCGCTTCAGCTGCCCTAGCTCCTGGACTCCCTTCCCCCAGCAAAAAACGACTCCCGCCCCCACCCCAACCCCCAGACACAGGGAGACTTTTATAAACAATTTGGAAACATTTTGTTTTCCAGTAACCCATTCCCCTCCCTCCCTCCCTCTCTCCGCCCCGCTGCCACCCAAGAAACCTTGGCAAGGTTTCTAGATCAAAGTTCTTCATGGGCTGGCCGATGTATTGAGCCCTTCCCAGCTTCAAGATGTTGTTGAACGATCTGATCTTCATTCTCCCATTGAATCCTTCCTGCCGGACGCCCCCAGGGCTCTGGATGGGCAGATAGGCCCCAGGCTCTGCTCATCTCGTGACCCGGGCGCTGGCTGAACTTGGCGAGGCGGCCCCGCAGGCAGAGTTCACTGGGATGTCACGGTCCGGCCTGCAGGGTCACAGGCGGGTCAGGCCTGGGGATTGGGACCGGCCCCTGGTCACGCCCCCGCTCGCTCGCCAGCGGCCGCAGACACCGCTCAGAAAGGGGCGGCCCCGAGATGTCCGAGATGTCCGAGCGTCGCCACCGCTAGAAATCCCGGTTCCTGCAGGAGCCCAGGAGTTGGCTGGCGCCCCAGTGACAGTGGCAGGGTCCTTAGGAGACGTGACAGCGGGAGAGGCCCTTTTCTGGAGCTTCTGAAATGCCAGGCGGGGGAATGGGGAGGCGCCGCCGAGGCTTCCAAACACGTGGCGACCCGCGCTCAGGGCGCGGCGGGGTCGGCGCGGTCCCCTGAGTCCGCGGATGGGTTCCGGTCCCGCTGGTTGCGGGGACCGCCGCGGGATCAGCTCTCAAAGAATAAAGTTTCCCACCTGCCTGAGACGCTTCTCTCGTTGGAGAGCCGAGGCTCCGTTTTAAACAAACGCACGTTATTCTCTGTTGTTTTCGGTCCTGGCTGGGTGCGCTCCGCTCCCAAACCACCGGAGCGCGCGGCCCCGCCTGGCCGGGTGGGGGCAGAGGGTCGCACGTGCACTCCCTGCAGGGTCCGGGTTCTGGTCACCAAGGTATGTGGGCCAAGGCCAGCAGACATGCTCCCTGGCTGGGATTCCAACACTCCCGCCGGCGGCGGCCTGCAGAGTGCCCATCTCACCCGGCCGGTGGCTCTGGGCAGGGTAGGAGCCCTAAGAGCCAAGGAAGGCTCCAGGGACGGTATCCTGTGTAGCCAGCCAGCCCAGCGTGCCTGGAGCTGGATGGAAACAGTATTTGCAACTGAAAGTCCCCCCTGGAAAGTCACAAACTGCCCCGAGGTGAGGTGTGGAGCGGTCGAGAGTGACCGCTTCCAAATTGCGGAGGAGGAGGAGGAGGAGCGGGCGCAGGGATGTGCGGTGACTTGCCCAAAGGGATGCAACGCGAGATGGAGCCAGGACTCGGGTCCAGACCCCTGGGCTTTCCTTCCGCTGGCTCCGTCTCGTTATCCTGCTGGAGCTACAGCCCCCCTTCCCCTCTGCCCAGCCGGGGCTGCACGCCTCGGGTTATCGGCGGTCGCCGAGCCACGGAGGAATCGCCCCTGCGGTCTCCCAGGGTTGGGCTGACTGTGCAGGTTTGCACCCGAGGGGACCAGAGGCTGTCTGGTACCCTTACGTTGGCCCTCCAGGACTCCCCTTGAGGGGGGTTGGGTAACTGGGATCCGGGATCCTGCCTAATTCCCCCCGCCCCCCACCTTCCCACCGCAGGCTCTCCCAGGGTCCTGGCCAGATCTTCCCAAAGAGTCGGGAAGCCCCCTTTTTGCTCGTCTTCTGGGCCTCAGTTTCCCCATCATTGGGATGCAGCAGCTTGATGATCCCTGCACGCACTTCCCTTTGCTTCCCGAGCAGGTGGAAGGGAGCCCACGCGGCGCCCCTCATTGGAAAATCAAGGGAGGGCAGCTCTGTTCTGGGACCGCCCGTCGACCCGACAGGAGGGATTTCAGAGACACTGCCTGGAAGCCAGGGCTGGAGTTCAGGCTCCCCGAGCTCCGGTGGGCGCCCCGTCGCCCCCTCGAAGCCCCACACCTCGGATGGGGGGGGGGGCAGCCGCCGCCGCGCCGCCTCCGCCTCCGCCTCCGCGCGGAACAAACGGTTAAAGATTTTGGGCAGCGCCTTGCGGGGGGGAGGAGCCAGGGGCCCAATCCGCAATTAAAGATGAACTTTGGGTGAACTAATTTGTCCGACCAAGGTAACGTGGGCAGCGACCTGGGCCGCCTATAAAGCGGGGCGCGCGGCGGGGCGGGCGCGCTGGCGGCGGCAGGTGGCGCGGGCGGCGGCGGGCGCGATGGGGCCCCCGGCGCTCCTGGCCGGCGCGCTCTGCACCTTCGCGCTGCCGCTGCTGCTCTTCCTGGCGGCGCTCAAGCTCTGGGACCTGTACTGCGTGAGCAGCCGCGACCGCAGCTGCGCCCTCCCCCTGCCCCCCGGCACCATGGGCTTCCCCTTCTTCGGGGAGACGCTGCAGATGGTGCTGCAGGTAAAGGGAGCTTGGGGACGGGACGGGACGATCCTCCGGGACTCGGCTCCGGGGCTTCCCACCCGCAGCCCGGGCAGGCGCCCCACTACGGGAGGACTTGCCCGCGGCTCGGATCCCAGGCGCGGAGCTCCCCGGCGCCCCCTCACGCCCGCCTCTCCGCCGCTTTGCTTTGCTTCCCTTCCGCAGCGGAGGAAGTTCCTGCAGATGAAGCGCAGGAAATACGGCTTCATCTACAAGACGCATCTGTTCGGGCGGCCCACGGTGCGGGTGATGGGCGCGGACAACGTGCGGCGCATCCTGCTCGGGGAGCACCGGCTGGTGTCGGTGCACTGGCCCGCGTCGGTGCGCACCATCCTGGGCTCCGGCTGCCTCTCCAACCTGCACGACTCCTCGCACAAGCAGCGCAAGAAGGTGAGGGCGGAGGCGAAGGAAGGCTCTCCTGGACCGGAAAGAGCACCCCGGGCGCCGGAGGGGGATCCCAGTGGCCGGAGGGGGACCCCAGTGGCTCTTGCAGAGAGGTGCTGGGCGGGCGAACGCTGGCTGCGGGGAGGCGTCGGCTAGGACCCTCTCCAGCCAGGAAGTGCCTTGGGTCTGGCGGAGCTGGGGTGTCTGGAAGGGGTCCCCGGAAAATGAGAAAAACAGGACCGGGTTTTAATATTTTCTTCCCGCTCCTTGGGGCGCAGGTCATCATGCAGGCCTTCAGCCGCGAGGCGCTGCAGTGCTACGTGCCGGTGATCGCCGAGGAGGTGGGCGACTGCCTGGAGCAGTGGCTGCGCTGCGGCGAGCGCGGCCTCCTGGTCTACCCGCAGGTGAAGCGCCTCATGTTCCGCATCGCCATGCGGATCCTGCTGGGCTGCGAGGCCCGCCTGGCCAGCGGCGGGGACGCCGAGAGGCAGCTCGTGGAGGCCTTCGAGGAAATGACCCGCAACCTCTTCTCACTGCCCATCGACGTGCCCTTCAGCGGGCTGTACCGGGTGAGGGCGGCGCGCGGGGCGCGGGGTTGGGGAAGGAAGCGGGTGCGGGCGCCCGGCCCCGCTCACCGCCGTGCGCGCTGCCCTCTGCGCGCAGGGCCTGAAGGCGCGGAACCTCATCCACGCGCGCATCGAGGAGAACATCCGCGCCAAGATCCGCGGGCTGCGGGCGGCCGGGGCCGGCGGCGCGGGCTGCAAAGACGCGCTGCAGCTGCTGATCGAGCACTCGTGGGAGCGGGGAGAGAGGCTGGACATGCAGGTGAGGGGATGTTTTTCCGGAGCACTGCGGATGTGGGCTCCTGGTTTTCCTGGTGCGATCCCTGGGACCCCCAAAGCGCTGGCCTGGGGGGCCCAGCTTCCCGGAGGGGGCAGCCTTTACAGACCCCCCCACCCCCTCCTCCGAGGCGGGATAGGGGAAGTTGATATGCTCAGTAGGAGAGGAACAGGGAGCACCCCCTAACCCTTCTTCCAGGTGTGAAAAGGAACCTAGGAATTTGCCAAATGTAACTAAAGAATCTTAGGCGAGTTTAAGACAATTGAGGCTTTAATGCAAGAGTTCCCGGTAGAGTGGGATTTTACTGGCCTTCCTGCTTCAGCTAAACTAATAGGACGTTGCTCTTTCTTCCTTTCCTTTCCTTTCCTTTCCTTTCCTTTCCTTTCCTTTCCTTTCCTTTCCTTTCCTTTCCTTTCCTTTCCTTTCCTTTCCTTTCCTTTCCTTTCCTTTCCTTTCCTTTCCTTTCCTTTCCTTTCCTTTCCTTTCCTTTCTTTTCTTTTCTTTTCTTTTCTGTTGCGTCCTTGACTTTCTGTCAGCGAAAATTAGCCCTTCTCCTCTGCCCTCTAGAACCTCAGTTGGGTTCTGAGAAACTCACCCCTCTGAACACGCAGACCTATACAAACGTTCGTCTCACTCCACTTCCAGGCACTAAAGCAATCTTCCACCGAGCTCCTCTTTGGGGGACACGAAACCACCGCCAGCGCAGCCACTTCTCTGATCACTTACCTGGGGCTCTACCCTCATGTTCTCCAGAAAGTGCGAGAGGAGCTGAAGAGTAAGGTAGGGGCTCTGGCGGGTTCTCATTACTTTAAGAAGTCCCGTTGCTCCCCAGCAAACTCCCCAATGAGTAAGTGTGCTGCTTTGCTGCGTGTTGTAAAGTGTGGTGGGCGAGCCGGTGGGGAAAGGATTCTCTTTGTGAATAAGAAGGGAGGAATTTGACCTTGTATTCCTACCCTGTGGCCACCTCTTGCAGAACCTTGGGAGATTTTCAGACAGGTTCTACTTTCGTGGAGTTGTGTGTTCAAGGGCACGAATTAGGGGGCTTCTGGGTGGGTAGCAGCAGGTGGTGGTGGTGATGGGGGTGGGGAAGAAGCTTGGTGGTTCTAACTGGTGAGCAACATTCTCTTGGAATTGCAAATAGACAGTGGATTTGGGCCAAGGGGGTGGAGGCACAGGGTCACTGGCTGCTCAGTGTTTCCCCCTCCCCTCTCCCATCCTGGGGCCCTTTGGGTCTAGCCTCCACGTAAGCCCTGTTTGCGTCTGTTGAGCTGATGTTATTGGAGCACAAAACAACCGTTCCCCTCTGCCTGGCTGTTTTGATAGGATTTGCTTTGCAAGAGCAATCAAGACAACAAGCTGGACATAGAAACGCTGGAAGAGCTTAAATACATTGGGTGTGTCATTAAAGAGACCCTTCGACTGAACCCCCCAGTTCCAGGGGGGTTTCGGGTGGCCCTGAAGACTTTTGAATTAAATGTAAGTTACAAGTTCTCTCCTCCTTTTTCGTTGCAGTGTTACCTCTCCCCTTGCTCCCCTGCGCTGCCGTTGGCTTAAATTCCTTCATGCTTTTGATTACAGTGTCCTGTCCCAAGCGGGCACCTTTCGGCAACCTGACTGCCTGCCTGCCTGTCTTCCCCTCCCACCTTTCCTTTTAACTCTTTCAAAGATATCGGGCGATAGCTTTTAATTGTTGAACATCAGATTTCAGTTTGCCAGACTTCTTGGACTTGTTCATCTCTTGCAGGGATACCAGATTCCCAAGGGCTGGAATGTTATCTACAGCATCTGTGACACGCACGACGTGGCCGAAGTCTTCACCAACAAGGAGGAATTTAATCCCGACCGGTTCATGCTGCCACACCCCGAGGATGCATCCAGGTTTAGCTTCATTCCCTTCGGAGGAGGCCTCAGGAGCTGCGTAGGGAAGGAGTTTGCAAAGATTCTCCTCAAAATATTTATAGTGGAGCTGGCCAGGCATTGTGACTGGAGGCTTCTCAATGGCCCTCCTACCATGAAAACCAGTCCCACCGTGTACCCCGTGGACGATCTCCCTGCAAGGTTTACCCGCTTCCAGGGGGAAATCTGATGGTGGGAACGCCCAGGCCTCGGACTCATTGGGAATGTACATATATGAGTTTTTACATAGTGTCGTGTTGATTCTATTTAATTCCTAAATGTATATTATAATATTTATGGGTCGCTGCTACAGTATCGCAGTCTTTAAATATTAAAAGAATGAATTTTGTATAGTTTCCAAATAAAGTAAAATTTGAAGGTGCTTGTTCTTGTATGTGAGATCCTTGTGCAGGGTGGGGGGGGGGGAACTCACTGGTTTACTATTTATACTTATTATATTTAACCAGATTTCTAAATGTCTACACACGTGGCTTTATTTGTCATCTGTGCATATCTACTTTCTGTGAGGAAGGCACTTTGCTGTTTTTTTTTTTTTTTCTTTTAAGGGTTATTAGAAAAATATATATGTGGATGTGTGTGTTAGTCTAAAGAGACTTTCCCTATCTATCAAAGATAATTTTAGATTGGGGAGGGGGGTTGTTTTACTTCAGAGAAAGATGGCTTTGAAAAGATAACACTCTTGAGAACAACCATAATCCAATATAACACCTTCAGCCACAAATTCTATGTTGAATAACGTTTCCATGTTGGGACCCATCGCTGCAGCTGTTTCCCCCGAAGTCAAGGTTTTAGGTGAGACAAAGCCAGACATTCCAGTTATTGATGAAAGCGAGACCCAAAAATCACCCGTGTGCCTCCTTTCCTCGGAAGTTGCCATAAAAGCAGCATTGGGAAAGGCCAGTCTCTGGTTCAGATAAGTGGGTCCAGGTTTTCTTTATTGAAAATGAGGCAGGAGGAGCAGATTTAGCAAACTGACAGATAAAGTTTTTATCTGTGCTGGGCACTAGGGTGTGAGCCTGACGTGACTGATAAAATGGCCCAGTCATGACCCTGTGAACCTTGGCTCACCCCCCGGGAAAGCACAGTTTTGTCACATTTCTGACCCTGGCGCGGCCATGTTCTGAGCTGAAGGCCAGACTCCGTCCAGAAAGGTTAGCCCCGGTGACTTGCTTATGCAAGCACATTCTCAGTTTTGAAATGGCACACGCTGCTTACTGAGCCTCTGATGGCTTGTAGGTCTTGGACTTTAAAGTTTTCATTGCAATTTTAGGATTTGGCAATGCTGCAGAAACTGGGTGGTCTGAATAGGTGTCTGAAAAGGGTCTGTCTGCAATTAGAGTTCCATGTTCCACCTGACTTTAGTGTGTTAGGTAGAACTTCTATTGTACCTCTTGTTGGAACCCTTTGATTTTTTTTAAGGGGTGTTTACAGAACTTACAGTGCCCGGAATAACCTTAAAATACCTTTATTTAAAAAGCAGAGGCTGCGCTGTGCAGCGGTGACCCCTTCCCCGATAGCAGTCACCATGGATCATTCCAGCCAGGAGCTCCCTGGCTGGAGGACATTATCTCTGAGGATTTATACAAGGCCAGTTGTTAAAGGTTTCAGTGCTTTTTCGTTTGCTAGAAAACAGCCTTTCAAAAACTTTTTTTTTTTTTGAAAATAAGGCAGGAGGAGTAGATTTAGCAAACTGACTGCCTGTCCTTCAAAAGCAGAGAGTAGAAAGAAATTTGAACCTTTTTAGCATATAATTCCATTTTTAAAATCCAGCTTTAATTTTTATCTGGAGAGCTTTGAGGAACAGGAGAGCTTGCATTTCTCAGGCTACATTGAGCCCAATTACACGCATTGATTACAGAGCGTTGCAGAATTCACCTTCGAAAATACGTTAAAAATATGATCTCTGTTAATATGCTTAGTGCTGAGGGGAAAACCACTGGGCAGTAGAGAGGGTGAGGCAGAATCAATGCCCGTGGGCTGTCGTATTGTATATTCGATGGGCCTGGGTCACATCTACCTGGGGCAAGCGTGCTTTATGGCACAGGCACCTCCGCCCCACGGAGAAGTGTTTGGGAGGAGGTCATGGTGCTAGAGTTAGACTTGCCCAAAGTTTGGGAAGGCGGGGAGACCACGGTGGAAAGGGACTCTGAGGAGCTCCGGGGGACATGGCACACGATGGAAGGGCACGTGGTAGGGATGGGTGGGTCGGCCAAGCTGGTAAGGTTGATGCCCTCTGCCTCCCCTTCACACATGCCCTTTGCGCTGGCCACCTCTCACCCCCTGATCTTCAGTCAGGGGTGTGGTGCCACCAGAACGCCTTCAGCTGGGTCTGTAATTTGCATTCAGAGGGATTGTAGTCTCCACCTCACTGAGCCCTTGGAGGTGGGACTGTGATTTGCCTGGGGCCACCGGGAAGTGGCAGAGCAATGACAGGCCGCCTGCTGCTTCCCCACCCATCCACCCTTTTTTCTCTCAAGGGCTAATCCCACCTGCCTAATTTCTCTCCAGCTCTCTGCTGTGGACAACTACAGCCAGGGGCCTCCACCCCCTAACTTCCCTTCCTCTCTCCTGCCACCAGGCCCCTGCCCTGTGACAGCCTAGATCAATTCTCTTACAGGCCTTCAGAGGCAACTGGTGAAATGGGAGCAGTGACCAGGAGTGTCGACTCCCCCAGATCTCTCATCTCCTAAGAGGTTTCAGGGTGCTTTTCACACCTTGCCACCCCCCAGAGGTCCACAAGGGGGCGGGCTTCTCCCTTCTATGCCAAGCACAGGCCCCAGTGGTTTCCCCCACCAGTGTCCGCGAAATCCGACTTCCACAGATTCTGGCCCGGGGCCTGCGTTTCTCCCAGACACTGAGAGGCTACAGACTACATAGGGCTTAACAAATCCTCAGCCTCAGGTCTGCCGCAGGCTGCCTGGCCTCTCTGGGAGGGTCGCCCCAGGCTGGGTCGATCTGGATCATCATTCAGCCCCGTCCACTGGGGCCCCGAGTCAGCTGGCTCCTGTTTCCAGTGTTGCCCACACTCTGCCCATGCTCAGACCTGTGTGGCTCTCACTGCCCTTGGAAAACTGCTGTCGGTATGGTTTTTCAAAGGACAGGAGCACACTAGTCAGTGTTCAGATGACCTTAACCAGGTCGAGGCGTCATCCCCACAAAGCACGGTGTGAGGAATCAGGGGTGTTTAGAGAGATTTTGGTGGCCTGACCTTCAAATAAAGGGCTGTTGCAAAAAATCTGGGTTCAGGGCTGTTCTGAAGGACAGAGTGTGCACTTGGGAGGGTCCATGAGAAGAAGGAGATGTGAGCACTATGTAAGGAAAGCATTTAGAGTCAACTGGGGCCCTTCAGTGATGACACGGCTGCTGTGAGAGAGCGAGCTCCCAGTCACTGGGGGCGTTCGAACAGGAGCGGGTAACCAAGCGGCCACAGGACTCTGACCCGGAGGGAGAGCTGAGTGTGGATGGTTAGAGTGTTTCTCTGAGAGCTGATTCGGTATGAATTCAGTTCCTCACATGCCTCCTTTACGTTGAAATGCTAATGAACTCCAATCTAGGGAGACAGGTCATCTCCACATCCTCTTTGTGGACATTCGGCAGTCCTTGGTGATCTCTCTGCCAAACCTCCCAGGCAGATATGTGGTGAGACCCAGGGGCCTGACCCATGACCTCAGACGCTGAGTCCCTGTGTTGATTGCTCGGGAACCTCTTCCTGTCTGGTGCCCGGTGGCTTCCAGCTTCAGCATCTGCTCCAGCACCCCTCTGCCCGCCCTCCCTCCCCCCAGCTGTGCTATACTGACCATCCACTTGACCTGGCTTCTGGGGTGACACCCAGCAATATTCCCAGTGCTCCCGCTCCCCGGTCTCTGAGATGCCACCTGTTGATATTGGACTTATTCCGACTGTCCCGTTCTCTCTGCCTCCTGAAAAAGACTCAAAGGCAGGAACTGTATCTCATCCCTGGAATGTTTTAACAGCCTATCCTCACACGCCTCCCTGCCTTCCCCCCGGACAGGCTTGCACATAGTAGGGGTTCTTTGAGAGAGAAAGAGTCCTGGGCCGAGCCTCACCATTCAGCTTATGTGTCTCCAGCTTCGCGGTGCCATATTTTTCTTTGAAAAGTGAAACTTTCACCCTTGGAAAATCTCAGTGGCCGCAAGCTTACACGGCTGTGGTTTAACAGCATGTCACATTCCTGAAACCAACGCTCCATGGGTATTTGGCCAAACAAGCTTTCCTTCGTTTGAAGTAGAGTCAACTTGAGTTAGAACCCTGGGACAGGGTGGAAACTTAGCCCTGCGTTATGTGGTGGGTTTTCTGGGTGAGAGTTATCGTGTTGCAATATTCATAACCACCTACCCACAACACAGAAGCTGAGCCACACTGCACGATTTCTCACCACGGCCCACCCCCTCCCTGCTCCACGGAGAGGTTAGAAATCTATTCTCATTTCTGACCATAGATGCTTCAAGATTTTTACCTGAAAACACGAATGGGGTCACTTAACTCAAATACATTTCAAAAGAGTACAAGGTGTTTTGCTTATACTAGATATTTTGATTAAACACATTGACTGATTTATTAAGTCCAGTCCAGTGTAACAGTGACTTATTTAATGATTGAGGAGGGATTCCGTAGTCTGAAATGGAAAGTTTGTTTAATGTCAATTAATCACAGACATAGTCTTCTTTAGAACTAGAAGAGAGATCACCCATGACCTATAGTTTACACCCGAGAAATCTGAGGCTCAGAGAAATTTAAGGTCAAAACACAGAATCATCGGGACTGGCTGTCTGGTGTCCAATACATTGTAGGATTAGCCCTTAATTAAAACAACAACAACAACAACAACAACAACAACCCACCACATTGTTTACTTGTATGTGTGTCAGGAGAATTACTTGGCAGATGAGCAGATTAATTGAGACCAGATTGCTTCCAGGTTCTTGCTCCTCATGGTGCTTGTGAGCTGTGTGGCCGCCACAGGGTTTGGTACAAAGCCTGACAGAGGTACAGACGGATGGCAATTCTGGCGGGGTTGGGGCTGGGTCTACACGTTGGTAGAGCTGGACCCTTGGGCATTTTGAGCTCCTTCTGCTGAACATAAGAAAAAATTATTTCTTTTATGGGTTCAATTGTATTCCCTCACACCCCTCTCCCCCCTAAATATGT